TGTCCTTGAGTGGCCCAGCCAGAGCCCAGACCTAAATCCTATTGAATCTCTCTGGAGAGATCTGAAAATGGCTATACACCATCACTTCCCAGGTACAGTAAAGAGGAATGGGCAAAAATTCCCAAAGACAGGTGTGCCAAGCTTGTGGCATCATATTCAAAAAGACTTGAGGATGTAATTGCTGACCAAGGTGCATCAACAAAGTATTGGGCAAAGGCTGTGAATACTTCTATATATGTGATTTTTCAGGTTTTTTATTTTTAAGAAATTTGCAACAATTTCAGAAAGATCTTTTTTCACATTGTCATTATGGGGTTTTGTGTGTCGAATTTTGAGAAAATAAATTAATTTAATCCATTTTGGAATAAGGCTGTAACATAAAAAAATGTGGAAAAACTGAATTAGGAGAGATAAGCAGGTAAGTAGGTAAGTACACTGCGGTCAGCTCTGATGTTGAAGTTCTGGAGAGCCCCAGAGCTCCATGAAGCAGAGCGGCTGTGCCTCAGGCTGAGGTGAATGAGTAGGCTTGGATGTTTTCTGTCATATTTTACTTCCAGGTCACCTGGCTCCATGCAGTCATTGTAATAATTTCCCGCTGTCCCCTATATCTCTCCTACTCTGGTTATTGATATTCAGAGGAACGTCAGGCTCCTGCCTTTTATTTCCCTGGAATCAAATGAATATTTTATGTCTAGTAAGAAACAAGCTCTTTATAGCAACACTGCTGTGCAGATGGGCTAGAATCATAAGATGTGTTGAAAATACTAACGTGTTCAAACAGGATCCAAGCTAATATAGCTTATATAAACTGCAGAAAGGTTACATCACACTATATAATAGGCTGAATATGCAAACATATTAAATATGAAGCCAGTCCTGCATGGGCAAATGTCCCCTTTTTATAGCTTCTATTTTCTGCCATAAGCTAATGATTCACCATTCTGTTATAAACTGGGTGTCTTCGGTCATTAATGCAATATACTCAATACAGAATAGTTTACAATCAGCCCATACAGCTATGATTTGTCCATATAAATACACCCTAAAGTGTTTGACGGTGACTTCATTCTAATTTACACAATGCAATATCTATGGAAATGTCTATCGCAATAACCTGACACGGAAAAAAAACATGGGTGTTCATGGAAAACGTGTAAACTATATTTCATGAAAGTCATTTCCTCCATGTGATTCATTGGGGAGAACATTATTATGTAATGTATGTGCAGTCAGCCTTCAAAAGATGTTTAATTCCCTTGTGTAGAATCGTATTCTTACACAGTGTATAGCCCAGCTCAACATTCAGACAAAGATTCGCATATCTATACATTGTATAATCATGTAAATACGCTAGCAGGGTTATTTTTCAGATTAAGGCACAATATGTATTTGTAGCACACTGAAATTACTCAAATCTGAAATATTTTCCATTATAGTGCCACCTCTTCAAGTTTAAAAAAATGTATTTATTATCATTTATTTATTTCCTGCTTATGGCCAGAAAAGCTGGGATAGGCTCCAGCATCCTCCCCCCAACTCTACGTGGAACAAGCAGTTTTGCAAATGGACGGAAGATCTTTCTGTTGACTTTGAAATGGTTTGGATTTATTTTCATAATGACTGGGTGTAATTAGATAAAGGGGATGTTTGTCCATTCAGTTGGAGCTTGTATTTTTATCACTGGGCACTATAGTAGCCTCAAGGGAAGGTCTATTCATACATTAAGCGAGCTCATGAAGAAGGAAATCTTCCCCACCAGTGTTATGTAACTGTGATAATGTCAATGGAATAGGAAAGGCTGCACAATGGCCACTGTTTGTGGGACACAAATTAGTCCAGTTACCATTAAGCGAAAATATTTAAGGGGGATTTTCAAAGAAGCGTAAATGGAATACAGTTGAAGTCAGAATTATTAGCCCCCCTGAATTATTAGCACCCCTGTTTATTTTTACCCCAATTTCTGTTTAACGGTGTTTATTTCAACACATTTCTAAACATAATAGTTTTAATAATTCATATCTGATAACTGATTTATTGTAATTAATATTTTACTACATATTTTTCAAGACACTTCTATACAGCTTAAAGGGACATTTAAAGGGTTAACTTTGTTAATTAGGTTAACTAGGCAGGTTAGAGTTTAGGCAAGCTATTTTATAACGATGGTTTGTTCTGTAGACTATCAAAAAATCTAAATATATAGCTTAAAGGGGCTAATAATTTTGTCCTTAAAAGTTTGTTTAAAAAATTAAAAACTGCTTTTATTTTGGCCGAAATAAAACAAATAAGACTTTCTCTTATATAAGGAAAAAATATTATCAAACATACTGTGAAAATTTCCTTGCTCTGTTAAACATCATTTAATATTTAAAAAAGAAAAAAAAATTCAATGGGGGGCTAATAATTCTGACTTCAACTTTATATAACCAATTTTACCATAATGTTGCTGGTCTTTTACTTATTTGTGACCCTGGACCACAAAACAAAATGTTGCAATAGTTACAATGCATTTATCAGTTTTTTGGTTGAGACCAAAAACCTAAACAGATTTATGATTTATAGCCTAAACAATTTTATCTCATAGTTCGTAATAACATATGGTTGCTTATTTCATATCCAATTCAATTTACACAGTAATTGAACTGAACTGAATAAACAGAACCAACATGAGGTGAATAATGGCACTGTTGTCTTTTTTGTTTATGACTGTTCTACTCAAGTAGATGTTTTTCTTTATGAGGTTTTAAAGCTCATAACTCTAATCAAAATTATTGATTAATCTTGAAATTTCAATATTATTGGCAAAAGAAATCGTAATTATTGATATTTCTGTAAAGTTCCTGTGAAGGCGTAGGGGTGTCCCAATTCTCTTTAGCTTGAAGAGGTAGATAGCCCCTCAAATGAAGATTGTTCAGGACCACATGCAAAATCCAGGGGTAAGAAAATTTCTCAGAATACAACAGCCACAACGGCAGGATAGCTGCACCCGGAAGGAGATCCACAAATTAGTGTTTTTTGCCATTATTACAAATTTGTACAACAAACAAGCACAAGTTTTAATATATTCATAACCGGGTTCATGTTTTACCGTGACGTTAAAAAAAAAAAAAAAAAACGCTAAAAGTTCCATTAACCTTCTGACACTCGATGACACTAAAATATTCTGTCAGAAAAGTCTAGTGGCTGGGAATGGGCTTTTTACAGAGTCTGCTATAATGTTCATGTTGTTTTAGGTGTGTTTACATAGAAGAATATGGCCAATGTGTAAATGCACAGTAGTTACAAGCTAATTGCCAGATTGTTATGATAACACAATATATGCCTTCATGATTTCTTGAAGATAAATACCGAAAAATAACGCAACTGGAATAACTACAGCAGTCACGACCGTCTAATCTCAAATGAAACATGAGATTGCGATGACATATGATGACGTGTGCAGGAATTGTAGTGCTGTCCCAATTCTTAGGGGTAAATTTTGAAGCCCTTCCCCTTCAGACTCGGTTTTAAGGGGCATGGGGAAGGGGTAGGGGTACAAAAATAAAATTGGGATTGGGCATTAGACGCATAGTTTTTGTAGTTTGATCCAAAGTAACCTCTGAAATCTTAATCAGAGGTTCTGTATAGGTCAGAATAGGGCTGGGCGATTAATCGAAAAGTGATGGAAATCGACATTCAGAACCTATTATCGATCTTATTTTTCCAGGTCAATTTTATCAATTAATTTCCCCACCGCATGTGGAGTCATGTGACCCCGATCTGTTAAGCCTTGATTTTTACTTCTGCGGTCACTATTTTGTTTTCAAAAGTGAAAGTTGTTTATTTTCACTTCTTTATAGGTAATGTGTGTTTTAATTTCTGTTGTTCAGCGTTGATGTTCAATAAAAAATCATAGATTGTAGAAAGTGTGTGTTTACTTAAATTACTTTAAAATCAAGTAATGCACAGTCATTTAAAAATCTCTCAGTTGTAATATGTGAGCATATACTTGTCAGTGAACTGAGGGCAAAAAAATAAAATAAATAAAAGAATCGTTTATTAATTATAGTTGAGTTCAAATTAATCGAGATTTTAATTTTAGGCCAAATAGCCCTGCCCTAGGTCAGAATACACTAATTATGCCTCAAAATATTGAAAACTGGGTGACGCGGTTGTGCAGTAGGTATTGTTGCTCACAGCAAGAAGGTTGCTGGTTTACATTTACATTTTACATTTAGTCATTTAGCAGACGCTTTTATCCAAAGCGACTTACAAATGAGGACAAGGAAGCAATTTACACAACTATAAGAGAAACAATGAATAAGTGCTATAGGCAAGTTTCAGGTCTGTAAAGTCTAAGAAGGAAAGTATTAGTAGTATTAGGTTTTTTTTTTTTTCGAGGTTTGAGCCTCGGCTGTGTCAGTTGGCGTTTCTGTGTGGAGTTTGCATGTTCTGCACAAGTCCAAAGACATGCGGTACAGGTGAATAGGGTAAGCTAAATTGTCTGTAGTGTATGTGTGTGAATGAGTGTGTATGGATGTTTCCCAGTGATAGGTTGCAGCTGGAAGGGCATCCGCTGTGTAAAAAAACATGCTGGATAAGTTGGCGGTTTATTCCTCTTTGGCGACCCCAGATTAATAAAGGGACTAAGCCGAAAATAAAATGAATTTATTTATAAATAAATTTGATTTATAAATTTGATTTAATTTAAATAAATACATACATTTAATTCACTGAAGCTAACACCCCCGATCGTCAATGTATAATGTATAATTCAAACTTTGTCCCATCCTACACAGCAATAAAAAGCTAATTTATTTCACCTTTCATCTCAATATCCAATAAAAATGTCACTTATGACTGGTTTTGATGTCCATGGTTACATAAAAAATAATAATAATCACGTTATAATAATAGCCTTTATAACATGGACATTTTTACTTATCTAACTTAAACAAAAAAGTTGATTTATAGACCTTTCAAGAACCCATTACAAAAATCCAGAAATTCCAACCTCATCCAGTTATACTCAGAAGAGAAAGGGAGAGGGAGATCTCATCCCAACCTCTCATCATCTGATGCTCATTCATCCTCCTCCACCAGCGAGACCTTAATGAGAATGCCGCGATAACGGACAACCATTGTTGTTTCACCGCTCTCCTCCATGAGTACATCATCTGTTCACCTCTGGATGTGTAAATGGTTCTCTTTCTTCAGCGGTTACCGCCACATATAGCAGTAATGTTTCCATTTCTGAAGTGCCGTTCGTGATGTTCCCGCGTTTGGAATAAAATAGCGCGCAAACCGAAACTGAGGGAATAAAGCATGACGATGAAGAGACAGCACGTTTAAATCAAGACATATCCACGGGGATCTGCAAAAGGTAGGTGTCCAGGGTCACTGTTCCATTCGCAAAACATATAACGTTACAGTCAATATAGACACGCAAATGATGTAATATTGATTATTATAATGCATATTTGAGCGGAACATGCTTGCACAACTAAACCTCTTTTTAACTGCTTCAGTGGATAGTGTTTAATGCGATATAAAATTTACTTGTTCTTTCAGTATGCTGTAGGAAGTGAACATTCAGACGTGAAGATATCAATGGCTTCAGTTAACACAATTCAACATTATCAGATGTGACATATCGCCCACAGAGCTCACATTACAGACATCATAGGCTATTTTGAACACCTACACGACTGCAGTCAACTATTCATTACTGCAAATGTCCTTTATTAAGCTGCTTCATTTGTATTTAGCGATTCAGTGGCAGCACGGTGTAGAGAAACGCTAACACGTTATGTCACTTTATCGGTGTACTATTGAGGCATTAAGATTATTAACAATAAAAGAATATTATCATCAGCTTCTTCCTTCAGCTGACTCTAGTAAATGGATGCGTTTAGCCATCATCTGCCTGACAGTCAGTATTAATAGACCAGGGGAGTAAAAGTGGTTTACATGGGCACAGTACTAAGAGATAATAGATATACATGCATAATTAATCGAGAGCTGCACGCAAATGAGCCTATTCAGTTTGTCTCCTGTCGTTTTCATATTATCAACATTTCATGTAAGCCTACTGGGTTACATTAGTCACCAAAGTGATTTTGCTTTTACTTAATTTGATTGACTATAGGCTAACACTTCACATTTGGATGTTTTATGGCTGAATCTTTTATTTAGTGTAATCCCAACATTACATTCACTCTACATTTCCTCCCTCTTATTATTTAGAGGACATATTTATTTCATGCTAGAAAGTGCTGGTTCTGTAACCAAAACATTGTGTACACACTTTTCTCTTCAAAAGTTTGCAAACGTAACTACATATCTATTCGCATCTGTTATTTTAAATTGTTTTGTCATAATGTCTATCGTAGATTTCTGTTGTGAAGAGATCAAAAAATAAATCTTTGTGTATTCGGTGTCTTAATTCAAGTTTTAGAAACATCAAGAAGAGATGCGATCACTTTATGAAAAGAACAGATTTAGGCATTTATTTACAAATGTATTTTTAAAGTCTTTAAATTCGGCCACAGAAACTCAAGCATGCCTGCTTGACTTGACAACCAATGAGGTTCATTCGTGCATGTCTCATTTGCACATTGTGCATCAGGAAGGTATGGCTGAAATCCAAAATTAAATCTAGTTTTCATATGAAGAGATTGTGTCACTTCAGAAGACTTAAACACATTTGATAAATATTGTTTTAATCGAGAGATCTCTATTTTTAATGTTTAAAATATAGAACATGATAGAGCAGCACGGTGGCTTAGTGGTTAGCAGTGTTGCCTCACAACAAGGTTACTGGTTCGAGTCCTGGCTGTGTGGAGTTGTTCGCATGGGCTCCCCCACAGTCCAAAGACATGCAGTATAAGTGAGTTGGATTAACTAAAATTGGCCGTAGAGTATAAGTTTAAATACAGGCCTGTGGGGGGGTCGGGTGGTTTGGAGGACCTACCCCTCACAGACAAAGGTCCAGAATTTGTCCTGTACATGAGCTCATTTATCCTATTTTGACTGCTATGCCATCATAAATAGTGCATATAGCTCATCGAAAAAGGTTTTGAGGCCAAGTGGAATCCTCTGTTGGCAGTGTGACTTCAGCTAGTCAGTTTTGGCCAATGGTAACAATTATCCAGCTGTGCAAGAAAACATACAATCTGATGTAAGTGAAGTTATCTTTCGCTACTGTACTGCTTTTAAATAGAGAAAATATTTTACAAGTAACTTTTATTCTAAATTTTGGACCTTATTCTTGAAACAAAAAATGACCAATAAAAAGGTGTGAAGAACCAAAAGCTGCCCATATTAAAATTCACTTGAATTCTTTTTTGGCTATTGCTGTTATCCATACATTTTCAAATGTAATTTTTACAAGAAAGGCTAGAAAAATTGTAAATTTGTAAATTATGTATATTATTATTATTATTATAATTATTACTTTTATTATTATTATGTAAATAATGCTTATATTGTCACTAAAAATGCTTCTCAAAATTAAATAAATTCAGAGTATAGCGTATTTTTTTGAGAAAAAAAAGAACCACCCTCTTCACCAGGCTGTCTACGGGCCTGGAATGTGAGAGTGTATGGGTGTTTCCCAGTACTAGGTTGTGGCTGGAAGGGCATCTGCTCCATAAAACATATGCTGGAGTAGTTGGCGGTTCATTCCGCTGTGGCAACCCTTGATAAATATGGGACTAAACCAAAGGCAAATGAATGAATGGAACATGGTATGTTTCATTGTAGTTTTCCCATGTGACAAGGGGGTACACGCTTTCTAACAGTTAGTCAATGGATGTGTGCTTAGTTTAAAGTTTTACTAGAATGGAAGAAGCAGTATGTAGTATAATCTTTAAGTGTACAGACACCATGCTATACGCTTCATAAATCAGTAAACGGCGCCAATGGTTTTATTTTAAACCATGCATAATTAGAGACTATTACAGGTAGGGTACATTATGCACCGATACTGTAATACTACAAAATAAATGTCGTTTGTTTTACATTTTAATGTACATAAGAAGTTATGAAAGATGACAAGGCTTTAATTAAAGTTATCGTGGTTTTATTTATTTATTTATTTTTTGTTTTAACATTATTTATACAATGTGTAATTTTCTTTAACCTTAAATTATATTCAAATTAGGTTGAGGGCAAGATTGGGAAAAAAAAGGGCTTTTTCAAATTGCATATTAGTTTTTCCCTTGATAATGATAATTAGGCAATATGTGGGGGGCATTCCTGTCCCTTTCTCATGCCCTTCACTTGCTAACTTCCTTCCATCTTGTTCCCTCAGATATACATCATTGATTACATCACACAAGTGTTCTTTACTCGCAGCACATCTGAATAGGTTTTAAGAGCCCCTTTTATGCATTATTAACGCTCGTATTTTGGTTTTGGGGGTCTCCAACAACAGGCTGATATGCATGTAAGGTCAAAAAACACATTCATCCCTTCATTTTCTTTTCGGCTTAGTCCCTTTTAATAATCAGGGGTCAAACCGGAGCACCCGGAGGAAACCCACACCAACATGGATAGAACATGCAAACTTCACACAGAAATGCCAACTGACCGAGGAGGGGCTCGAACTAGCCACCTTCTTGCTGTGAGGCATTCCCACTGCACCACTGTGACGCCCACTTTCATTGTCTTATAATATGCATTTATTTTTACCTAATTATCACAACAACTCCAATATAATTTGTTCAACGATTCATTGGTTCCCTAACCCCTCATTAGCGTGATGCTAATCTTCGCTGATTGGTCCAATGACCCAGTCTGTTGCGAATGGTCAACTGGGTTTAGCACGAGACAGAGAGAAATGCCCACCTTATCAACATTGTTGAAGTACTTAGCGTGCAGTGTATGTGTGAGTCCAATGCAGGAGTGCATTAAAGGTGCAGTAGGTGAACTGCTTAAATGCTAACCGGTTAGCATAGTATCTTTCAAATACAAGCCCTCACCTGTCGCCCAAAGCCACGCCTCCTGAAATTGCAAACGCACGCATAAAAGATGACAGAGATCCACAAGATAATATCATTTGCCAGTTAGAAAACTTTATAGCACTTTATTAACCAGTAAAACCTTAACCAAAAGTAAAATCAACGACACACATTCAGCATTAATCCACACAGTGAACAAAAGCTGAACTATTTTGAAACTTGACCGCCGCACGTGTGTAGGAACAGTTGACGGTGGCCATAGCAATGACAAATGGGCAGAGGATCACATGCCGCACATGACTTTAGACGCGTTATGTGAAAATAAAGAGTTAACCATATACAGCAGGACTCAAAATTAATCTTTTTGCTTGGAAGCACCGGTGCTCCTAACTTTCACCTGCTTGTAATCTGTCATTGACAACATTTTAGACCATTTGTTTTCACTGGTAAAATTAGAATTTTGTCATTATCAGATTCCTTCTTGCATTATATTCAACATTATATATAGGCTAGGGTTGTTATACTGACACAGTAAACATTTATTTTCATGCACAACACTTTGTGACATTTTTGGGTGAATTATAACAAATACAGTATGTTACACTTTTAACGTTGTTTGAAGGTGTCAATGTTGCTGTGAAGACTTGTGCGACTGCCTTGCTTTTCTCCTGACCTTTAAAACACAATTGGCTGAATCGTAGAAAAAGCTGAATTACGATCTTGTGTAGGGTCAAATCGAGATTGTGATCTTTTTTCGATTAATCGTGCAGCCCTTGTTTGGTTTTTATTATCATTATTTATTTTTTAACTTTTTTATTTTAGCTTTTTTTTATATATATATTTATATATAAATTCACATTTTGTTTAGAGAAAAAACTTACTGCACAAACTCCAAAAAAAGACCTCAGCTGTGAAGCATGGTGGATGAAGTATTAGGATTTGACACTACTTTACTGCCTCAGGTACAGGACACATTGCAGTCACTGAAGGAACATTGCATTTAAAAGTATGTTAGGATGGCGAGGCAGTGGCGCAGTAGGTAGTGCTGTCGCCTGCCAGGAAGAAGGTCGCTGGTTCGAGCCTCGGCTCAGTTGGCGTTTCTGTGTGGAGTTTGCATGTTCTCTCTGCCTCCACGTGGGTTTCCTCTGGGTGCTCCGGTTTCCCCCACAGTCCAAAGACATGCGGTACAGGTGAATTGGGTAGGCTAAATTCTCCGTAGTGTATGAGTGTGTGTGTGGATGTTTCCCAGAGATGGGTTGTGGCTGGAAGGGCATCCGCTGCGTAAAAACTTACTGGATAAGTTGGCGGTTCATTCCGCTGTGGTGAACCTGGATTAATAAAGGGACTAAGCCGACAAGAAAATGAATGAATGATGGCAGCGAGAAGAAAGAACAACGTCAAATTTACTGTCCCGCCTCAT